ATTACATTTGATGGATCCTGTCTTAAAGGTCAGGTAGAAAGGTACACTCAGCACCTACAGTATTCTATAGGATTGTTCTTTAGACTCAAGCTGAGTGTTTGTTGAAAGCCCTGCTATAATAATGTTAATTACAGTTTTCACTTAGATGGGAGCATGGCTGTGGCAAGAAAAATGTTTTTTATATAAAAAAGTTACAATGGAAGTCAACAGGGTAAAAATAGTTTGGATTGCACTGATGTAAGAGCAAAATAATCTTTCTATTGCATGTAAAAAGCATCTCCATCTAACTTTGCATTGATGTAAAAGTGAAGTAATCTATTACCCAACTGTTTACATGTTGTATGCCTACCATATTATCATTTAGGTGTTAACTAAGGGTTACCATAAGCTGGAAGCGATTTGAAGGTTGCTGGTGGGAACAGCAGTAGTGATGGAAAAGCTGGGCTCTGTGAAGCCTTCATTGCATTGGTTCACAGGGGAGATTTTTGTAGTTGGATGAGTCAGATGTTGGAAGTCTTTAAGTACTCACTGTGTCTTCATAGGCATTTCTGGGCCTGCTTTACAGGCTGTCTAAAAGCCTTTTATTCCCGATGGGAGCCTTCCCAAATATTGCAATCTTCAGAGGATTGCTTTCTCCCTATGCCACCAGTCATAGAACCATAGCATTGGAAGAGACCACAAGAGTCATCCAATGCAACTGAATTCTGCCATGCAGGAACACACAAAGTACCTCCAACAGATGGCCATCAAAAACCTCCAGAGGACACTCCATCATGGTCTGAGGTAATATCAACATACCCCCCCACTCATAGGCTATCACTCGCAGATTAGTATGATTGCCTCCCAAGTGGTGGTGGGTCCATAAGTGACTGTAGAGACTTATTCTTGATCTGCATGTTATTTCATAGAGAAGACATCCATTTCTAGATGCAAGGAGCTTTGCAAGGATTCTTGTGAGATGCTGTGATAGTTTCCACAGTCTGTTCTTTCCCCCTTTCTGAAGAGAATGATGATAGTGATGATAGTGGCTGGAATTTTTTCGGTCACCTACACTTTTTCAATGAGCTGGTGGAGTTGTGTTTCTGCTTTAAAGATTTCAACAGGGATCCTATTAGGTCTGCTGGCTTTGTGATTTTTTAATTGGCTGGTGGCTTTGCTGATGTCCTCCAAACTAGGCAGTGCTGCAAGCTAATCCCTGGTTTGTTGTTGTGGGATTTACGAAATAACCTCTTTAGCCACATTGGAGCTGCAGTTAAGTAGTTTATGGTAGTGCTCTTTCCAGCATAGTGCAATTGACCTTTTTGCCCTTTAGAAGTTTAGTTCCACCTGATGTGCATAGAGGGTGTATGCAGGGGTGGCTAACCCATTACGCAAAGTAAGCCTTTGCAGTATAGTTGATTTTGCCCAGGGGCGCTCTTGAGGCGCTCTTGGGGGGAAAATAGACCTTGACATATGCGAGTTGTAGTTACTGGGATGTATAGTTCACCTACAATCAAAGAGCATTCTGAACTCCACCAATGATGGAATTGAACCAAATATGGCACACAGAACTCCCACGACGAACAGAAAATATCTATCAGTGATTGGTTGGGGGGGCGGGGGCAAAATACTGTTTGCTTACCATTAAAAATTACCTAGGGCCGCCTCTGGGTGTATGCCATGATTTCTTGGGCCATAGATCATCTTTGTGGCATTAAAGAATACCCATGCATCATGGACATCTGCAAGGTGTTGGATTTCCTGACCCTTTTTGGTCCACCAAATGTTCTTGAGTTCTCTGGTCCTTCCTTGGACCTCAGCTTTTGCATTAGTGTAGATCTTTTTCTTAGCAGCACAAGTGGCATCTCTTTGCCATGTTTAGAAGGCTTTCCTTTTCTTATTGATTAATAGTTGGATTTCGTTACCATTTTTATCAAACCAGTCTTGATGTTCCTTAGTTTGGTATCCAATGGTTTCTTCACAGGCTGTGATGATGGAGGTCTTCAGTTTATTCAACTCTTCCTCAACATTTTCAGGGTGTTCTATGGGTAGACGAACCGCTTATCTTCAGGAAGTTTTTCCTAATGTTTAGGTGGGTGTTTTTTCCTGCAATTCTTCAACACGGGAGAGAGCTTTGTAGCAGATTGTCCTAAGATAGGAAAATCCTTCCAGAAAGTCTAGAGTTCTCCTTTGTGTTGTCAAGACCTATTTAAAACAGGACTTAACTGACCAAGGTGAGGAGACAATCAATTTGGTGTGCTATTCATAATTTGCATTTCCCATGAATGTCTTAAAAGTAGTGCTTTCATTGGAATGATGGTTTAACAGCTTTATAGCATTTCAGGTCGGATAGCTCCAGAATTTTGTATAGGAGGAGATGAGCCACAGGCCACACTCTCAAGGTGCAATCTGTGGACTCAGAGCTGCTTACAAGTTATATGTAAATAGAATATATTATATTATTAGCACAGTGCAATATTAGTCCCATATATTCTCATATTGTACCATACCACTATACTGTAATATTATACAATCATTTTCAGCTTGACAATATTAAAACAAGTTTTTTAAAAACCCCAAAAAACAAATCTTGATGTTGCCACATAGTTCTTGTTTCAGTAAGTCGTAACAAGATCAAGTATGTGTGTGTGTTAAAGAAAACCTTATACTGTTGATTATGATGTGCAGCTGCTAATGTAGGTCAACTAGTAAGTTTGGACCACACCTGGTGGAGTATAACTGTGTGGGTTTTAGAATACAGTTTAGCTTTTGCTTTGAGGAGCCTTTGCTCAGGCATTTCACTCAACCATTTCTACTTTTCTCTCATTTGAATGAAGATGAAGAAGCCTTATTCTGTATTGCTTACAAGGACTATGTAAGCTTGTTGCACTGTTTGTTTTTGTTTGCAGCATTGCAAGCTTATGTTTTAACTCTGCTGATAAGAGTAAAGTTTTTCTGTTCTTTTTCTTCTTGCCTGTGTGCAATGTTATTGTGTCTTCTACATTGGACCTGACTGAAACACGCTCACATAGGGTGCGTCTACACTTTAGAATTAACACAGTTTGACCCCACTTTAACTGCCCTGGCTCAATGGTATGGAAATATGGGAGTTTTAGTTTGGTAAGGCACCAGCACGCTTTGGCAAGGAGATCTTGTGAAACTACAACTCCCAGGATTTGACAGCATTGTGCCATGGCAGTTAAAGTGGTGTCAAACTGCATTAATTCTACAATGTAGATGTCCCTTATAATCATAGAGTTGGAAGAGACCTCATGGGCCATCCAGTCCAACCCCCTGCCAAGAAGCAGGAATATTGCATTCAAAGCACCCCTGACAGATGGCCATCCAGCCTCTGTTTAAAAGCTTCCAAAGAAGGAGCCTTCACACTCCGGGGCAGAGAGTTCCACTGCTGAACGGCTCTCACAGTTAGGAAGTTCTTCCTCATGTTCAGATGGAATCTCCTGTCTTGTAGTTTGAAGCCATTGTTCCGCATCCTAGTCTCCAAGGAAGCAGAAAACAAGCTTGCTCCCTCCTCCCTGTGACTTCCTCTCACATATTTATACATGCTATCATATCTCCTCTCAGCCTTCTTTTCTTCAGGCTAAACATGCCCAGCTCCTTAAGCTGCTCCTCATAGGGCTTGTTCTCCAGACCCTTGATCATTTTAGTCGCCCTCCTCTGGACACATTCCAGCTTGTCAATATCTCTCTTGAATTGTGCCCAGAATTGGACACAATATTCCAGGGGTGGACTAACCAAGGCGGAATAGAGGAGTAGCATGACTTCCCTAGATCTTGACACTATGCTCCTATTGATGCAGGCCAAAATCCCTTAAATCACTCATCTTAATCTGGAAAAAACTAAACAACACATTGAGTGTGCATCAAGGGAGGAGGGAGCAAGCTTGTTTTCTGCTTCCCTGGAGACTAGGACACGAAACAATGGCTTCAAACTACAAGAGAGGCGATTCCATCTGAACATGAGGAAGAACTTCCTGACTGTGAGAGCCGTTCAGCAGTGGAACTCTCTGCCCCGGAGTGTGGTGGAGGCTCCTTCTTTGGAAGCTTTTAAACAGAGGCTGGATGGCCATCTGTCAGGGGTGATTTGAGTGCAATATTCCTGCTTCTTGGCAGGGGGTTGGACTGGATGGCCCATGAGGTCTCTTCCAACTCTTTGATTCTATGATTTATATTTTTCAGTCTCAACAGTTTTACAGTCTTGATTTTTCCAGCCAAACACCCAAGGGAACAAACCAAAAATTGTCCATTGAGCAATCTTGCTCAATGTATTGTCGAAGGCTTTCATGGCCGGAATCCATGGGTTGTTGTAGGTTTTTCCGGGCTATATGGCCATGTTCTGGAGGCAATTTTTCTCCTGACGTTTCGCCTGCATCTATGGCAAGCATCCTCAGAGGTAATGAGGTCTGTTGGGACTAGGAAAAATTGGTTTATATATCTGTGGAATGACCAGGGTGAGACAAAGGACTTTTGTTTGCTGGGGCTAGCTGTGAATGTTTCAGCTGATCACCTTGATTTGCATTCAATGGCTTGGAAGCGCCTGGGGGGAATCTTTTGTTGAGAGTGATTTCATGTGCCTGTTTGTTTCCCCTCTGTTGTTTCCTCGCATTCAATGGCTTGGTAGCGCCTGGGGGGAATCTTTTGTTGAGGGTGATTTCACCTGCCTGTTTGTTTCTCCTCTATTGTTTTTCTGCTGTAATTTTTGAGCTTTTTAATACTGGTAGCCAGATTTTGTTCATTTTCATGGTCTCCTCCTTTCTGTTGAAATTGTCCACATGCTTGTGGATTTCAATGGCTTCTCTGTGTAGTCTGACATGGTGGTTGTGAGAGTGGTCCAGCACTTCTGTGTTCTCAAATAATATGCTGTGTCTTGCTCAATTGGAATGCAATAGGCTCCCATGTCCCTTTAAGAAGGACATGTCCCTTTAAGAAGGCAGCCCTTTTCTCAACTGAGGGCAGGAAGCGTCGTCAACTGTTCGTACTGCGCCTGCGCTGCTCTGCCGAGCATGCGCACTCGGGATGAGGTCTGGAAAAAAAAAGGTTCCCGGAAGAGCCCGGGTCAGGAGTGGCCACGCCGGCTTTCCTGTCCCTTCCTGGCGAGGCTTGGGCTCGGAGGTGAGCAGAAATTGGGTCATTCCAGCTATCTCGTGTGTTTTTTCCCCCCACCTCCAATGGAGTGGGCTATTTGGGGGACACTGAGCAAGGAGAATCGAAAGGGAACCTGTGGTGGTGGGCAAAACCTCCCTAGATTTATCTCTTGGGAGGGCATTGGCTGCAAACCCCTCTTACTCCCTGAAGTTGCACCCACACTGTAGAATTGATGCAGTTTGACACCACTGCAATGCTATGGGATCATGGGAGTTGTAGTTTGGTGAGCCTCCAGCTCTTATTTGGCAGAGAAGGGTCATGAACTTATAAAACTACAATTCCCATGATTCCATTGAATCATGGCAATTAAAGTAGTAAAAAAAAGGTAAAGGTAGTCCCCTGACATTAAGTCCAGTCATGTCTGACTCTGGGGGGTGGTGCTCATCTCGATTTCTAAGCCGAAGAGCCAGCGTTGTCCGTAGACGCCTCCAAGGTCATGTGGCCGGCATGACTGCATGGAGCGCTGTTACCTTCCCACCGGAGCGGTACCTATTGATCTACTCACATTTGCATGTTTTCGAACTGCTAGGTTGGCAGAAGCTAGGGCTGACAGCGGAAGCTCACTCCGCTCCCCGGAATCGAACCTGCGACCTTTCGATCAACAAGCTCAGCTGCTCAGTGCTAGTAGTATCAACCTGCATTAACTCTACAGTGTAGATGCACCAGTCTGTGTTTCTCCTTGCTCCCAGCCTGAGGACTTTCTCAGTCTAGTATCAGACCCCATCTACACTGAGCATACAATCCAGTTTGAAACTGAATCATATAATCTTTGTAGTCATAGGCAAACTTGGGCCCTCCAGGTGTTTTGGACTTCAACTCCCACAATTCCTAACAGCCGGTAGGCTTTTAGGAATTGTGGGAGTTGAAGTCCAAAACACCTGGAGGGCCCAAGTTTACCGATACCTGCTGTAGACTCGTTTAACGCTGTTCAATGCAATTAAACTGCACTATGTGAACCACATAATGCTCTTTTATAGTCCCAAAAGTAACATATCTGGGTTTTTTCCACAATGCGCCATTTACTAACTTATCCACCTACTATTTTATTAATTAAGAAAATCATTACCTACTTGCAGATCGCTTCTGTCTCAATGTGTATTGACTTATGGTGAGCCCAGAAACCCATTTATGTATGGATTTCATAGGGTTTTTTTAAGATGAGGAATACTCAGAGGTAGTTTTATGAGTTCCTCTGAAATATAGCCTACAGCACCTGGTATTTGTTGGCAGTCTCCCACCCAAGTACCAACCAGAGCTATCCTGGCTTAGTTTCCAACATCAGACAGGGTTTGGTGTCTTTAGGATATTTAATTGTGTATTTCTTGCTGGCTTAGTTTCCAAGATCAGACAGGGTTTGGTGCCTTTAGGACACTGGTTCTCCACCTGTGGGTCCCCAGATGTTTTGGCCTACAACTCCCAGAAATCCCAGCCAGTTTACCAGCTGTTAGGATTTCTGGGAGTTGGATGGCCAAAACATTTGGGGACCCACAGGTGGAGAACCACTGCTTTAGTATATTTAAGATACTTATCAAGGGTAGCAAGATACTGGACTGGAGAGGGGCATATGATTGAGACAGTCCAGTAAAGTTCCTTTATTGGACTCTAACGTTCAATGGCCTTGCTGTTGCATAAGTGATGTATGCTTACTTAGAGTTGTAATGTAAAAAGTGGATTTTTCAGGCTTTAATTCAGTTTATTTTTCTTAAAATCCCAACAGGTTTGGGTTCATCACTTATAGAGTACTCCAGCATTGTCTACTTATTGATCTGAACTTGAATCTGTCACTGAAAGCAGCCTGGACTTCAGGATCAAGGAGGTAAGAAACTGTCATGTTAGCAGCTATTGTCAGACCATTGGCTAATGTAACTGAGTATTGTTCCTCTGTACAGTAACCAGCCGCAGTTTGTAAAGATTTCAGCCTTACCTGAGAAAAGGGTGGTTTAAACTTGGGACGTTTGTGCATGTATCTCTTGTGTGCTACAAGTCCCTTAGAATGTATTTGAGGTTGGCTTGGAGTGACTATATTTCACTCCCTTCCTGTGGTGTGTACCTTTTATTGGGAAATACAGTCAGTCCTTGAGTTACAAACATCTGAGATTCCATCTGAACATGAGGAAGAACTTCCTGACTGTGAGAGCTGTTCAGCAGGGGAACTCTTTGCCCTGGAGTGTGGTGGAGGCTTCTCCTTTGGAAGCCTTTAAACAGAGGCTAGGTGGCCATCTGTCAGGGGTGCTTTAAATGCAATATTCCTGCTTCTTGGCAGGGGGTTGGACTGGATGGCCCATGAGGTCTCTTCCAACTCTATGATTCTATGATTCTATAAAAATGCCAATGTATTGTCGAAGACTTTCATGGCTGGAATCACTGGGTTGTTGTAGGTTTTTTTCGGGCTATATGGCCATGTTCTAGAAGCATTCTCTCCTGACGTTTCGCCTGCATCTATGGCAAGCATCCTCAGAGTGATTCCAGCACCTCACAACCTCTGAGGATGCTTGCCATAGATGCAGGCGAAATGTCAGGAGAAAATGCCTCTAGACCATGGCCATATAGCCCAAAAAAACCTACAACAACCCAAACAAGTCATAGTTAAGAACAGGGGTGAGACAACAGGAAATGAGAGAAATCTTCTCCTAGGAAGGGGAATTCACTTTTGAAAGAGTTGTCATGTTGAAAAGGTGTCTCCACTGAAGCTGTATCAACCATCTTTGTTTCCACAACAAGCCAAATTTTTCAAAATCCAATCATAACAGGAACAAATAGTGAGGCAAAATTTTCTAAACAGGGGCACAAACAGCAAAACAATCACCACAGGGATGTTAATGCTTCCCTATGCTATCCAAAGCTTTAGTGTGTGTGTGTGTGTGTGTGTGTGTGTGTGTGTGTGTGTGTGTACACACACACACATATTGGCTGGGGTTATACTTAAAAAACGTACCTGTTCTTACTTAAATATATATTCCACTTAAGAACAAACCTACAGATCTTATCTTGTTCATAACTTGGGGACTGTCTGCACAGTCTAGTTATAATTCTGTGATAATTCCCCCTCCAGTAATCCATTCAACAGGAATTGTAATTGTGATTTGTTAGAAGTGTTTAAAATCTTTTAATGTGTGTGCTCTTTTTTTGTAATTTTATAATAAATAATACTTGCCATAGTTAGTGAGCCTGCACAGTGTAGTAGTTTGAGGGTTGAAGTATGATTCTGGTGATCAGAGTTCAAATCCTTTCTCAGCTATTGAACCCATTGGGTGACCTTGGGCAAGTCACACTCTCTCAATCATAGAATCATAGAGTTCAAAGAGACCTCGTGGGCCATCCAGTCCAACCCCCTGCCAAGAAGCAGGAAAATCACATTCAACAGATGGCCATCCAATCTCTATTTAAAAGCCTCTAAAGAAGGAGCCTTCACCACAGTCTCAGAGGAAGGCAATGGCATATCTCTTCAGAAGAAAACTTCCCATGAAAGCACTGTAATAGTTTCACCTTGGGGCCATCCTAGGTTGGAAACGTAACAACAGACACAACTGGCTGCAGAAATGATATTTGGCAGCTTGAGGACAATGCTACTCAAAGTGGTAGTCTATGGACCACTACTGGTCCACGAGCTATTGGTCTGTAGCAAATATCCAGGAAAGGAAGAATTGTAATTAATGAGCACAAATATGTCAAAAGGGTGAGGGCGAAGGATGTCAATCTTAGGAAGCAAGTAGTAGTTATACTCCAAGACCTTTGTTTTTGCTCCAAATTTTTTGTTAAATGGGTGGATGGCGATGTTAAGTTAGTGGACTGGATAGCAAAATGTGCTATAACACAATGTCCCTTGTGCAAAGACAACATTTTTGCTGTTTAATAAACTGTTGCCATGTTTTTATGATAAACCCAATTAGGAAATGACATTTATAACCCAGGAACAAAAATCATAGTGTAGAAACAATCAAAGCACCCCAGACAGATGGCCATCCAGCCTCTGAATAATAATAAAGAAAACATGTTCCTAGTTTGAAAGTGTGATTTCCCATTTAATTGTGTATTTCCCATTTAATTTGTGTATTTCCCATTTAATTAAATTTCCCATTTAATTTGTTTATTTCCCATTTAATTTGAAAGTAGTACTACTGCTCCAGGAACTTTGTTTTGCACCAAAAGCTTTGTTAAATGGGTGGGTGACAATGCTAATTTGGCGGACTGGATAGTATACTACAGCAAAATGTGCTATAACATGATGTACAGTTTACATCATGTGCTATAACATGATGTAAAATGTAAAAAGACAAAGTTTTTACAGTTTAATAAACCTTTACCGTGTTTTATGGTGGAACCATTTAGGAAATGATATTTATAACCCAGGAACAAAAATCATAGCGTAGAATATTAAATTTATCTCTGATGCTAAGCAGTGCACTGCATTCTGGGAAATGTAGTTTAGGGCAGAACCTTTTGAATTCTCTGGAATAGGGCTCCTTCCTTCCCAAACTACATTTCCCAGAGTTCTCTGCTGTTCTCAGCAAACATCTTTTCCCTGCTCCTAATGACAAGACACTATTAATTTACAGAGGAAAGGCAAGGCACTAAGGCAGCCTTTTTGGCTTTGCTTTGCTTCCTTGTACTGAATATGAAACTGACTTTGGGAGCATTTTGAGATTTACAAAACTAAAACGAAAAAGTATGGGGTAAGCTATGATTCTTAAATGTTTGACACAGGCCATGCACATGTAGTGGATATTGCCTGGTAAGTCTGAATTTAACAAATTTGATCCGAATTGTGAGGACTAACGAAAAAATGCACACCTCACCTAGTTAGGTTTGTTGTTTTGATAATATAAAGGAATGTAGCAGCCATCTTCTCATAATTAATAGCTTGGTAACATTTGTACTGTCCCTTTGAGTGCGAGAGAAGAAAGAATTTTAGATGGTAGTGTTGCTTACGGTCTGTATCCTCTTGACATTTTTTGAAGTGTCCAATTTTTTTGTAAATTGCCATGACATTGCTTCAAGGTATGTAATAAATGCCTGGAATTATATCTATAAATACTCAAGATTGAAGTTCTTATTGCTGAATTGACATTAAACAGGAAGGAAATTTGGTTTATAATATGATACTGGGTGTGCAGTGGTATAAATGTCATGCAGCAGAATAATGATTGTTGCCAGGCGTCTCAGCATGCAACTTTGAATGTAAAATACGACTTTTAAATGCAATTTAAACACAATGAAGGAAGCTAGGGAGCAAGCTAACCAATTTATATGGGCTATCAGAAAAGGAAAGAAAAGTAATAAGAAAAATATATGGCATTCTGCAGGATAGTATACAGGAATGTTTTCTCAGGGAGTTCTTTCAAAACACTCCATTAAAATTATCTCATTGTTAAAATACCACAGTATCCTTCTGGGACGCCTTGCGGGAATGGGCCTTGGTGGCACTGTTCTGTAGTGGCTCCAATCTTTCCTAGAGGGTTACTCCCAGAATGTGTTGTTAGGGGACAAGTGCTCGACCTTACAACCATTGTCTTGTGGGGTCCTGCAGGGTTCTATATTGTCCCCCATGTTGTTTACATGAAGCCGCTGGGGGAGATCATCCGGAGTTTCGGGGTGTGGTGTTATCTGTACACAGACGACATCCAACTCTGCCACTCCTTCCCACCTGCTACTAAGGAGGCTGTTCAGGTCCTGAACCGGTGCTTGGCTGGTGTGAAGGTCTGGATGAGGGCGAACAAATTGAAACTGAATCCAGACAACACAGAGGTACTCCTGGTCAGTCGTAAGGCCGAACAGGGCATAGAGTTACAGCCTGTGTTGGACGGGGTTACAGTCCCCCTGAAGATACAGGTTCGCAGCTTGGGTGTGATCCTAGACTCATCGCTGAGCCTGGAACCCCAGGTTTTGGTGATTCACACAGTTAAAACTTGTGCGCCAGCTGCGCCCGTACCTTGGGAAGTCTTGGCCACGGTGGTCCACGCTCTGGTTACATCCCATATAGATTACTGCAATGCGCTCTACGTGAAAACTGTTTGGAAACTGTTTGAAAACTGTTTGGAAGCTCCAAATGATCCAACGTGCTGCAGCCAGGTTGCTAATGGTAGCAGCGCTCAGGGAGTACACAACTCCCTTGTTGCGTCAGCTCCACTGGCTGCCAGTTTGCTTATACATGAAGTCAACTTATGTGTGAGTATACATGGTATACTTATTTTCAGAAACGACTGCTTAAGTGGTGTCATTTGTGCTTACTAAGATTACATTGAAATTATAGGTTTCTAGAGTCCATTGTTCTACCATAGTAGTTTTAATCAGGTGGTTCAGTGATTGATAAAGCCCAAGGCAAACCCCACCACATAACAGTATTGTTCGTTTGCTATATATATAATTTATGTACTTGAAACATTTATATTCTGCCCTTCTCACCCCGCAGGGGACTCAGGGCGGAGCCCAACGTATCTATGGCAAACATTCAGTACCAGGACATAAAATCATAAATATACACAAACATTAAAATTACTTATATCCACTTTAAAATCAGTTGCTTAAAAACCATATGTGTGTCACCTTGTCATCTTTTTTCCTGAAGTGGGACCAAAGGTGGCTTACAAAAGAATAAATTATAACTCAAACACTAAAGTTTAGCTCAGATTGCCAATTAAATAAGCTTTAGAAAATGAATTTCAACTTTTTTAGAACAGTGGGAAATAGTACAAAAGTTAGAGAACTACTCACTAATGGCATTTGGTGGAAGAGAATCTGATACCCTCAAGTGGACTGGTATAGAAACCTGTAACTTCAATATATGTGTCCTTAAATGGGGTGATTCTTTGTGGTCCTGAAACAATGTCACATTTAGTTTTGTACCACCTGCCCCTATAGATTTTCCTTCAGTCTTGTTTCTTTATGCAGAATTTCAGTGAAGTGTAACCCATCTCAGAGAAACCCTGATCGTTGGTCAGTAAGAGCAATCCTTTTATCATTGTATTCTGTGTTTATCTGTTAGTACTGGAACTGTTATGAGATGCAAAGATGCAGGAGGGGTGATGCCTGGCTTGACAACAGTACATGAAGTCTTTGTGGACAGCAAGTTAAACACGAGCTAGCAATGTGATGCAGCAGCTAAAAAAGCCAATGGGATTTTGGGCAGCATCAAAAGGAGTATAGTGTCTAGATCCAAGGAAGTCATGGTGCCTCTCTATTCTGCTTCGGTCAGGCCTCACCTAGAATATTGTGTTCAATTCTGGACACCACAATTCAGTTGAAGCTGGAACGTGTCCAGAGAAGGGCAGCTACAATTATCCAAGATCTGGAGACCATACCTAATGAGGTGTGGCTTAAAGAACTAGGTTTTGGGTATGTTTAGCCTGCAGAAGAGAAGGTTGAGAGAAGACCTGAGAGCCATGTATGAATATGTGAAACAATGTCATAAGGTGGAGGGAGCAGTCTTGTTTTCTGCTGCTCTGAAGACTAGGACTCAGAGCAATGGGTTGAAATTAAAGGAAAGGAGATTCCATCTGAACATGAAGAAGGACTTCCGGACTGTAAGAGCTGTTCAGCAGTGGAACTCTCTGCCTCGGAGTGTGGTGGAAGCTCCTTCCTTGAAGGCCATCTGTGAGGGGTACTTTGTGAGTTTCCAGCATGGCAGGGGGTTGGACTAGATGGCCCACATGGTCTATTTCAAATCTACGATTCTGTGTTATTGTGTTCTGTGCTTGGATAATTTTGGAGATAGGCACTGTTTGAGTTTCAACAACAATGATGGAGAACTGTTGCTTTATTCTGCTGTTTCTGTATGCCTGATAATGAGTTATTCTAATGCCAATTTTAGATTAGTGTCTTAGTGTTTAGATCTTTGCATGCCACAGTGAACATGTAGATCTTTGCCATTGGCTGTATCTTGAGTAATGAAAAAAGCAAATCAGGTGCAAAATATTTGGAAATGCTGGTGTAATTCATCTTTGATGTATGTGTGCACTTCATATCTCTTCCATATCTACCTCTTGGAACTTGTTTTTTTTTTTTTAGCTTTCAGCTCTTGATAGATGCTGAATTGATTATCAGCATGACTGTGTGTCTCTGATGATATTTCTATAATATGAGAATACCCCCATTAAATTACCATCATACTAATGAGCTGAACAGCTTTCTTTCATGCATACCATTTCATTAGTTTCTTTTTTATGCTTTGCCCTCCAGGCTATTGAGTTAGCTTTAGCAACAATTCTCAAAAGTGGGTCCTTGGATATTATTTCAGCACAAACCAAGTCATCCTTAAGTGTTTCCAATGCTGGATGGGGATGGTGGGCAGTCCAAGTTCCCTTCAAGGTCCCATTCAGAAAGGCATATATTGTGGTTTTTAGAAAGAGGGTAGTTAATTTTAGTGGCTATTAATTCTACATTTTAAATGATGTTCTGGCTTTCAGAAAGTGAAGGATGCCAAAAAAGAAGACAGGCGCTCGCAAGAAGGCTGAGAATCGTAAAGAACGTGAGAAACAAATTAGAGCTTCAAGGGGCAATATTGATCTGGCAAAACATCCCTGCAATGCTTCAATGGTAAATTAAGAGGCATTTCTTACCTTTCCACGATAATGTGTAATCCAATTGAAATACGTGATTTTTATTGAAAGAAAAAAGAAATAATACAACAATAATAAAACAGACAAACAATTTTTTTTCGTGTCGAGGTGACTTGAGCAACTGCAAGTCACTTCTGGTGTGAGAGAATTGGCTGTCTACAAGAATGTTGCCCAGGGGACACTTGGATGTTTTATCATCCTTTGGGAGGTTTCTCTCATGTCTCCACATGGGAAATTGGAGCTAACAAGCAGGAGCTCACCCCGCTCCCCAGATTCGAGTCGACGACCTTTTGGTCAGTAGTCCTGCTGGCACAAGGGTTTAACCCAGCGGTTCTCAACCTGTGGGTCTCCAGATGATATAAGAATTGAAATAAAACTCTTCATTGAAAAATTCTTCCTTTTTTCTCTCTGTGCCAAAGATAGAGAGATAGCACAGTTTCATTTCTGATGCTTTTTTTAAAAAAAAGATTAATAAACTAGGTCCTCAGTCTATAACCAAGAGATTTTGCAGAGCATGTTTAGTGTTATGAATCCTTCTAAAAATCGCAAAACACCAACATTTTTATTTATTTACTTATGACAATATTTATATCCTTCCCTATATTTGAAAATCTTGGGTTGTCTTATAATAATAAAAACATAAATCCACAAATAATTATAATAATGTTCAGGGATTAAAACATATTTTAAATAGCATATCAATTAAAACCTGGACAATATAAACAATTTAAAAATTAAATTTGAAAATAATAAAATTTTCATCTTTGTATGAATGAAAATGAAATAACTCTGCAAAATGCATATTCTACCTAGACTTCAGAAAAGACAGTCCTAATCCTATCTCATTTCTGAATCGTATAGAAGGATTTCAGAGCATTGCTAGTCTGGCTTTGTTTTATTGTTAGAGGGAAAATGTAATGTTAGTTTGGATTAGACATTTCTGTAAAATGCTACTTTAAATTCACAGATTTGTCGACTCTCAATGGAAACTCCTAAAAAACTCATTATTTGTTCTCTTACAGGAATGTGACAAATGCCAAAGGTAGATAAACATTTCCAGTGTTTCCCTTAAATTAAACTTTTTTGGCGTTGTTCAAAACATGCTTTGTTCAATTACTTATTCCACCTTTTTTTGTTCTGACAGACGGCAGAAGAATAGAGCTTTTTGCTACTTTTGTAGTTCTGTTCAAAAGCTGCCCCTCTGTGCTCAGTGTGGTAAGTGTGCCCAGCTTAAGATGTATTCTAGTCATGCTCTTGTACCTGTTACTGCTGTAGGTCTGTGTCTAGAATTAATCCCATATTATCAGATTGTGGATTTCTTGGGCATCTGCTGGGGTGGAACGGGACAAGGGAATCTGCTGCTCTCCAGATAATGGTGAACTCCAGGTCTCCTGCTCTAGCAGTCTTGGCTAACACTAATGGGATTTATGGTTCACAATGATTTGGAGAGCCATAGCTTTCCTAAATTAGAACATTAGTTCCAATGTGCCTTTGAATAATAGTTACATACTGATCAAGTCTATCAGCCCCGATCTTTCGTTTAGATTTCCAGCACTTTATTCCGAGCCTGGCCCTACAGTTTTATGTTTGCACTAGCCCAACTAGTCTCAAACCTGCACATGCCCACTTTTTGGCTATTGGTTGTTTGTTGTGTGGTTCATGTTTATAATGTTTTATATTTTATTGGTTTTACTGTTTTTAATCTAGTTGATTGTTATTTTTTTAATTGTGTTATCCTGTAACCTTTTTTTATATTGGACTTGGTCCCCATGTAAGCCATCTCGAGTCCTGTTGGTGAGATAGAGGCGGGATATAAGAATAAAGTTGTTGTGGTTGTTGTTGTTGTTAATTCTTATATGTCTTACGAAAAATACTGCATCTTGAGTAGAGATGACATGAGGAACCATATCTCCCTATAGAAAAAAAATAGAGATATAAATTCTTCAGGGAAGGCTCTTTTCTTTGCCTTTTTGTCTGCTCAAGATGTTTTTTTGGGAACTTCACATTAGCTTCTCCCAAATTCTAGACCTCCCTATGCTCCCTTCCTTGCTCTTGCTGACAAGTTAAAGCATTCTTATTACGTTTGGTTTCTAGAAAGTTATTCCTATGAACTTTTGAGGGTATGATGTGCTGTTTTGTTGGGTTTTATGTTTTTTAAAATGAATTTGAATAGTTTAACAGATTACATTATGTAACACAAGTTGAAACATTTTCTGTTCCTGGTTTGAAAGTGTTACTTTCTGTTTAATTGTACGGTACTTGCCGTATATACTTGAATATAAGCCAAGTTTTTCAGCCTTTTTAAATCTGAAAAAGCCTCCCTCGACTTATACTCGAGAGAGGGTCCTGGCGGTAAGGTGTGGGGCTGAAAGAACCCAGCTGAGTCACTGTGCTGAGAAGGGAGGAGAGGGTGTGCATCTTCCTCATCTTGCGCACCTCCCTCTCCTCCTTGCAGTCACCTTCATCTCCTTGCATGCGCCTTCTTCTTCCGCTTGTGCGCACCTTCCTTGCTTTCCCTCTTGGCACAGTGACCCAGCTGGAGTGCTCTGTCGTGAGGGGAGGAGAGGCCGCACAACTTCCTCTCCTCAGCCCTCTCCTGCTTTTTCCACTTCCCTTTCCATCCCAGCCTTTCCCAAGTTCCTATTTCAGTCTTGCCCCCTTTCCCACTGCAGTTTCCCACTTTCCCCAGCCCCTCTTCCTCACCCCAGTCTTTCCTACTTTCCCAGCCTACTTTCCCACCTTAATCTTGCCCACTTCTCCACTTGTCCCCTTCCTACTACACTCTTTCCACCTTTCTAGCCCCCCCCCCCTTGCTCATTTTGCAATCTTCCTTTCCCCTTCTCTTTTCCAGGAAGATAGGTTGTGCTTCTGTCCTCTTAAAAAGGAGCCCATTTCCTTCCTCTGCAGAGAAAAGCAACAAAAGTCTGACTGGGCTTCTCATCTCCAAGAAGGGAGTTCATCTTGACACAGAGAAGTGACTGAAGCCCAACTGTGCTTTTGTCTGCCAAGAAAGGAAATTGATTCCTTTCCTTGGATTTGGTCAGTAAAAAAGCCATACAGTCTACTGAGATTTTCTAATTAGATGAGATATTAATTCTTGTATTTTAAAATACAGGGAAGACGAAATGTATGATGAAATCTTCAGACTGTGTCATAAAACATGCTGGTGTATACAGCACTGGACTTGCAATGGTGGTACGTATTTATATAAAGTAATACAGGAAATCTTTAGAAATGTTGGCCTTCCAGATCTTCTTGACTATAGCTCCCATCAGCTTTACCCAGCTTGGTCAGTGGCAAGGCATTGTGGGAGTCGTAATTGAAAATATCTGGACTTCTTTTTCAAAGATAAGTTGTTTTATATTTTCATGGGTCTTATTATTTGCTTGTTCTCTAGATAGCTCTGCTACAACAAAATGCAGAAACCACAGTGTTTGCACAAATTATTGTGTATGCTGGTTACACGAAAGCCATAGTGAAATATGGACTAAATTTCAGCCCAGATTGTAAGAACTGAAATACTTGGTTCAGTTGAGTGTGGTAGCACAAGAAGATGTGGAAAATGAGGCATATCTCAAATACATTTTGGGGGAAAATCTGATTTAATTAAGTTACAATTTGTGAAATGAGAAAGCTGGAGAATGAGCACACTCAGAAGCAATGATTCAGGCATAGATGTGGCCAGCCAATATCAATGCAAAACACACAATGATTCAAGAATTGTGCTAAGTTTGATTATGACCAAAATGCAAAAGGACAGAAATTATTTCAGGGGATGGGTGAAAAAAGATGTCAATTTCCATCCTCATACAGCAGGGTTGGTGGCACTGAATCTTGTAGGAACCAGGCTAGGACCCAAAAGAGGCAGGAAACTTTGGCTTTATATGAACAATTCTCACCTAAGTTTATGGCTGTTCAGATTAAGAGGCTTTGTAGCAGCAGCTGATCCATTAGAGCAGTGGTTCTCAACCTGTGGGTCCCCAGGTGTTTTGGCCTACAACTCCCAGAAATCCCAGCCAGCTTACCAGCTGTTAGGATTTCTGGGAGTTGAAGGCCAAAATATCTGGGGATCCACAAGCTGAGAACCAGTGCATTAGAGGGAGACGTATGGCATATGGATCTGTAGATGTGTTGTGGGTTATGCAATCTCGTTTTTTGATTGTTCTTCTCCAGTGCCCACCATTTCTTGTTGGTGGGCATCGAGACAAGAGTAGGCTTCAACCTCATGTAATTACTTATGGATTGGGAATGTAACAGTTTTGCAGAAATGAACACTGAGAACCTAGAATACATTGCCAAGCATTTGGAAATTGGCAGCAAAGTGTTTTGCTGCCCCGGGATGATTCCTAGTTGGAATGTACTCAAGTTGCTTCTTGGAACATGTACTGACTTGGAAAAGTGGCTTCTTTGGGCTACTGCAAGGCAAAAAAAGTCACTTACTAAGAAGAATGTTCTTTAAGTAGAAAACAACAAAGATCTACAATAATATGCCAATTTATTTTCTTTTTCCTCAGGGGGCAATATGCGATTTCTGTGAAGCTTGGGTTTGCCATGGTAGGAAATGCCTCAGTACCCATGCTTGTATCTGTCCTCTTGCTGATGCAGAATGCATAGAGTGTGAGAGAGGGGTCTGGGACCACGGTGAGTTAATGTCTGACTAGAAGATTCTTCTTTAAAATTGTGTTATTTTATTTTCATTTGTGTTGATAGTAGTTGTTTTTATAATTTTTATGTGATATTGTTTTATACTCATGTACTGTTTTTGTTATGCTGCACCTGGAGTGCCTTGTAGGTCCCCCCAAGTCCCTTTCAGGAGATGGTGGCAGGATATAAATAAAGTTTATTATTCCTTGTTTCAATTGCATTTGTGTTAATTGGCAATGGCATTAATTAGAGTGTCTAGTTATTAGGGCTGGGCGGTTTTGTTTCGTTAATTCGTAATTCGTTAATAATTCGTTAATTTTTTCAATTACAAAACGATAACGAACCATTCTGGAGCAATTATTAAAAAAAGAATTTTCAAAAACGTTTTGTAAATGCTTCGTATTTCGATATTGTATTCGTTTCGTTATTGTTTTGAGGTCGTTTCGTTATTATTTCCGCATGTCTGGGCCAGTTTTATGGTTTAATTAGTGAAAAAAAAATATAATATCACACCAACAGTCAACAACAGAGGGAGAGGGAAGCTTCAGAAGGTTTTGGAGGTTTTTTAGCGTATTTCGCGGTCGCGTCCGCCATTAACGAATCGATTCGTTATTGTTTCGGAAATCGATTCGTTAATTTTTTACCATTTACGAAATTTCGTAAATATCGAACTTTTTAAAAGGAAAATTTTGTAATTATTTTAAATATCGAAACAAAAAACCCCCCAAATACAAATCGATTTTAGAAACAAATTTTTCCGTTGTTACCCAGGCCTACTAGTTATCTTTGTTGTGCATGCATCTAGCTGGTTTTCTTTTTAAAATGAGAGAAACAAGGCATTCCCTTTTTCTATTAGTAGTAGAGAATATTGGATAATTTAGGCACACAACATTTTTTCCACAGGAAAACCCCTACTCTATGGGGTGATCTATATGTTGTTGAACCATCCAAGATCCCTTGTCATTGGCCATACTAACTGGGGTTGATGGGAGCTGGAAGTTGAATTTTATCACTTCTAATGTACACATTCCCAGTGATAAAATTATGCATATTGGTGCAAAAGAGCACGTAGCTTCCCATGCAAGGAAATTGTGCCTTATACTAAATGTACCAATGCTTGATAGAGTATTTGTACAAGCTACCGTATGTACTCAAGCATAAGCCGGCCTCAGTCGCCTGTGGGCTGAGAAGGGCGGTATACAAATATACTAAATAAATAAATAAAATAAGTATAAGCCAGGACACCTAATTTTACCACAACTGGGGAAATGTACTGTTTTGAGTATAGCCAAGGATGGGAAATGCAGCAGCTACAGTAAATTTCAAAATAAAAATAGACACCAATAAAATTACATTAATTAAGGCATCGGTAGGTTAAATGTTTTTGGATATTTACATAAAACTTTAATTTAAGATGAGCCTGTCCAACTCTGATTAAACTATTATTCTAACCGTCAATATAAATGTGCTTACATATCTTCCAGTAGTAATCAAATGATTAAAATAATAAATGTAATAAAAAATAATAGAGTAAAATAATCAAAATGTAATAATAACAGTAATAATAGAGTAAAATAATAAATGTAATAATAATGGAGTAAAATAATAAATGTAATAAAATAATAGAGTAAAATAATGTCATAATAATAATAATAATAATAGAGTAAAATAATAAATGTGATAACAACAACAGAGTAAAAAAAACTTTGACTCTTTGACTTGTGTATAAGCCGAAGGGGGTTTTTCAGCCTATAAAAAGAACTGAAAAACTAGGCTTCTACTTGAGTATATACGGTAATTTGACTGCATAGCACATGAAACCATTTATCATATAAACTTGCCTTGTATTGATTTACCTGTTGTCAGATTTTCTATATATGACAATAGAGTCTGTTCTTCAGTGGATTATTGAGTATACTGCAGGTTTCAAGCTGCCAAGCTATTGAATGATATTTAAACATTTGCTGTCAATATGTAGAATCTATAGTCACATGGTCTATGCTAATGTTTAGGGAAAATGATAGTCTCCTCTACAAAATGAAAATACTGCTTGCTTCTTGCTTTCGTTTCAGGTTTCAGGAAATGATCTTTTATTGTCTCTTATTTATCCTAGCCCTTAGCCACATACCATCTTTAGGTTGTATATGTAAATTATGGACCTGAAATATTTTGCTTGATGTTGATGCATCATAAAACATCTACTACACATAACTACGTGCTTTGAAAATAGGTTAATATTTTAATTTCACATGAGCCAAGCTGTCATGAATTCATTGACCCTGTTCAATCTGAGTATTTATTTAGGAAAGCCACACTAACCTAATGGGAAAAAAAATGCTAAGAGTAGGATTAAATTTCTAGCTTATACTTTTACCTGTATCATTATAAGCCAGAGTATTTTCTCAGATGATGCAAAACAACAGCTCTGGTTATAAAGAACTGCAATCACTGATTAGCGGGATAAAATGTCTCTTTGCAAAGCTGAATACATTCTTAATTATGATCACAGGGCTCCAATATATTCCTGAGCCTGGCTCAAAGCCCTGCATTTAAATCAGGGACCAGGTTACCTGATGTAATGTCAACATGGCAGTTTTCTGAAGTCATTATATGAGGTTCCTGTCCTTAGACATGAGCCAGGTGGCAACTGGAGAGATGACAGCCTCAATGGTGACACCCAGTACCTGGATTTTTAAAAAATATTTCATGTTTTAGATTACACTATGTAACACAATTTGGAAAAAAAAATTCTGTTCCTGGTTTGAAAGTGTTGTTCTTGTTTAATTGTGCAGTACTTACTTTGAAAATACTTGTTACACTCCAGAAACTTCATTTTTTTGGCTGCCACAAATATGTTCAAGTGGTTGAGACTCAATTAGATATTAATTGAAAAACTATAGCAAAATGTGCTTCAGGATGTCCTGCAAAAACAAAGTTTTTGCAATTTAATAAACTTTCCCCGTGATTTTATTATAGAAACAATTAGGAAATGACATTTATAAGCCAGGAACAAAAATTGTGTTACATAGCATTATTCAAACTGTTGATTCTATTTTCTTTTTTTTAAAAAAAAACACTTGTTAATCAATTAATATATTATTGTATGTATTTATTTATCATGTCAGGAGTGAATTGATGGTACATTTGTAATGTATTTAAAAACACAAAGTCAAAAACTTGGTGTTATGCTAAATGTCCTTTGACAGAAGCTGGCCACTTGGAGCACCTCTGGTGTTGCTGTGAGAAGTTCCTCCATTGTGCATGTGGCAGGGCTCAGGTTGCATTGTAGTAGGTGATCTGTGGTTTGCTCTTCTCCACACATGCATGTCGTAGGCTCCACTTTGTAGCTCCATTTCTTAAGGTTGGCTCTGCATCTCGTGGTGCCAGAGTGCAGCCTGTTCAGCACCTTCCAAGTCGCCCAGTCTTCCGTGTGCCCAGGAGGGAGTTTCTCATCTGGTATCAGCCACTGATCGAGGTTCCAGGTTTTAGCCTGGCACCTTTGGGCTCTCGCTTGCTGAGGTGTTCCAGCAAGTATGTCAGTGCAACCAGTCGATTATATTACATGTCTAACAGAACAAAGCAAAGCAAAAAAAACAAAAAAAACAGACAAAATACGAAAATTGTGAGTTTGGTAGTTGATTAAATGTCCTTTGACCAGTATCTGGCCACTTGGAGTGCTTCTGGTGTTGCTGCAAGAAGGTCCTCCATGGTGCATGTGGCATGTGGCTTGCTGGCTGATATCCGAACAGAGGATGGGCCTGAGATGTCAATTCCTTGGTCCTTTCATTACAGGCTGCTACTTCCTGACAGATGTCAGGTGGTGCAATACCAGCTAAAGAGTGTAATTTCTCCAGCGGTGTTGGGTAGATATACTAAGATAATGCGGCATGTCTCATAAGAGCCACATCCACTGTTTTAACGTAGTGAGGTGTATTTCACACTTGACATGTGAGGTGTATTTCACACTGGACAGCAGCAGAGTAGCAAATTGTAAGGGCAGATGTCTTCACTGTATCCAGTTGTGATCCCCAGGTTGTCATGAGAAGTGACTTGCAATATATTATTGTATAAACGCCACTGATTGTATTGATATTGAAAAACAGCATATTTTTTCTAAAAAGAAGGAACTGTAATACATTTAAATGAATACTTTTGAATGCACTTAACATTAATTAAATGTGTCTTATGAGTAAGGTCAGATTTCCTCATTACTCAAGTTATCTGGAACTATCGCTTGATGATAGTAGGTAGTCTGCAGACTGATTTTGATATTTGCTTGTGTTTCTCTTTCTTGATTTTGCAGGTGGGAGAATATTCAGCTGCTCTTTTTGCCATAATTTCCTCTGTGAAGACGATCAGTTTGAACACCAGGCTAGTTGCCAGGTTCTGGAAGCTGAGACCTTTAAATGTAAGCTATTTCCCTAAAGCCCCTCTTATGAAAGGTTAACCCACTTTAACGGTTTCTGAAATAAATCCAGTGTGTGCTTCCATGGTGAATTTTAAATATGTGACTCAAGAGGATACATGCTAAAGTCAGTAGTTTCAAGAATATCTGGACTTGAAAAATTGGGACTTGGCACCTTCTGTCTCAATATAATTTGGAAAAGTGATCTCTTTTAGGCTCCGGCTCCTTGAACCCACCATCAGGCATGGCTAAGTGCAAGCTGAGGGATTCTGGGAGCTGGGTTTCATAAAAGTAATGTGCCTTTGCTCTGTCTTGAATGTAAGAATTGTTTATCAGGAATTCTGGAGTGTCAAAAACAAGCAGGAATATTTTAATGGGCCAAGAAACCCCCATTTATGATTTTAGCATTGCATCCAAAATAGGATCCTTGACAAAACGTTAAAATCAAAAACTAGGTTTTGCTTATGTTAGCTTATTAGCCATGGATCCTGTTTCTGGCATGATACTCAGATGATTGCAACTCTTTATCAGCTCTACCCAGTATAGCCTACTCAGTATAGGCCAGTGGATCTCAACCAGAGGGTCCTCAGATGTTTTGGCTTTCAACTCCCAGAAATCCTAACAGCTGGTAAACTGGCTGGGATTTCTGGGAGTTGTAGGCCAAAACACCTGGGGACCCACAGGTTGAGAACCACTAGTATAGGGAACGGTGAAGAATCTATACTTAGGATATTATTGGGATGCTGAAGAATGTCTGTTAATGTACATTTATTTATTATTTGCTTCATGTGTATACCACTTTTCTCACCCCAGTGGGGTACTTGAAGTGGTTTCTAACATAATTATGGCAAAATTTAATGCCTCACATTCAGAAACCTATAACATACAATTATCAGTTAAATCCTAAAACATGGCTTGATTTAACATTAAAACATGGAATTAAAAAAATATCAATATAAACATTAAAATAACACAATCCAACAATTGTTGTCCAGGCCGTTCCAAATATCATATCTATTGTGCATAATCCCTGATCATTCCTTGTACTGCTTGGTTCCATAGACAAGTTTTTACTTTTCTTATGAAGGCCAGGGGGGGGGGGCGCTGATCTAATTTCGTTGGGGAGGGAGTTCCATAGCCAAGGAGCGACCACCAAGAAGGCCCTGTCTCTCATCCCCACCAATCGCACTTGCGAGGGAGGTGGAACCAAGAGCAGGGCCTCCTTGGATGATCTTAACCTCCAGGATGGTTCATAGAGGGAGATATGTTTGGACAGGTAAGCTGGGCGAGAACTATTTAGGGCTTTATAGGCTAAAGGCAGCATTTTGAATTGTGCTTGGTAGCAGACTCGCAGCCAGTGGAACGTAATGGGGTTGTGTGTTCCATTCCTGTACCCAGCTCCAGTGAGTAATCTGGCTGCCACCTCTTGGACCAATTAAAGCTTCCAAACAGTCTTCACAGGCAACCCCACATAGAGCTCGTTGAAGTAGTGTGTGTGTGTATATATATATATATATAGAGAGAGAGAGAGAGAGAGACAGACAGACAGACAGACAGACAGACAGAGGTCTCTCTCTCTCTCTCTCTCTCTCTCTATGTGTGTGTGTGTGTGTGTCTGTATAGTTATCCCTGAATATTTAAATATTTGATTTTTCAGTATATGTAGTCACTAATTCAAGGATAGAAAACTTGTTGTACAGCAATTACCATTGGCCCTAGCCAACATTGCCAAGGGCTGAAAGATGCTGAGAGTTGCTGCACAGCAACAGTTGGAAAAGCACAAGTTGTTCATTCCTGAACAGTTGGCTTGCTCTAGTACCAGGATTTTGATCAGCATACCTTCATGTATATCTCCTGTGTGTTCTCTCTCTTTTCAAAATCTAGTCCAAAGACTTTGCTTGTGCTTGTAGTATAAATGAATGGTTACAATCAAGAGAAGCTCTCCTGCTTCCAGGGTTGTGGTGGGCCCCACACTCTGCAGGGACATCATTAAAATGCCTGCTACCTTTTCCAGGCCGAGGCTAAGCTTTCATTTTTCCTTGCACTCAAAAGATGCCCAAGCATGGAAAGCCTCGGGCTGTCCATTGAACTGAAGAGCTGACCTTGGTTAGAAGGCAGACGAGTAAAGCCACAAAATCTCATTACTCAACCATGCACTTTATCTCGCCTAATAGGTGTTTCCTGTAATCGACTTGGGCAGCATTCATGCCTCCGCTGCAAGGTAAAACCAAAACGTTTTAAAGGAGATGAATCAAATGCACTACTCTTGTACTTTAAATTTGCTGACAGTTCTTGTCATGTCCTTTTCCCCAATGCATCAAAATTGTATCTTCTGATTTTCCCCCCAAAGAAGCTGTCTCAGTGCTGTTCCTATCATGCTTTGATTAACATAGCCTCCATGCTGTGATGCTAGACATTTATATTGCTTCACTCTAGTCTTTCTAAGCTGTAACTGCTGAAATTGCCTCTTTTTCTCATTGTCCTGCTGCTATTTTTCCCCTTCACCCACCACCCTTTTCCTTTTATTCAAAATGCTAAATGGTATCATCTTTCTTTGGATATCTATGCACCAATCTGTTTCTGTCTGTATCCCTGAGATGCTGGCTCATTTCAGTATTATTACTGCTAACCCCAAAATTACATTCAAGGACTACATCTCCCAGTATCCTCAGACTGTGGGGAATTTTGGAATGTGTAATCCAAAGAAGTATCTTTCAGACTTGAATTATTTGGATTTTAATTACTGGATTTATTGCATACCTGTTTTGGCAGCCAACCATATAATATATTAACCCAGATAGTCCTGATTTCTCAAAGACTCATTAACTCAGAAAATAGTTTGCTGCTCCATGGACAGTTTGGCATGTCTGTGTTGGTATTATACAGCTCGTTGTATGACATGTTATAGTATAGCGCTATTCCAGGGTCAACATTCTGAGTAGCACTGATATAAAGTATTGTCTACAGCAGTTGTGGCTGGTGGCATCCATATTCTAGACTTTAATTTGGATGTTTTAAAAAGCTATGTGAGGGATTCAACCCACTTTAGAGGTATTCTTCAGCACCATGGGCAGTGCATTGCAAGTTCACACTAAAACAGTAGTTCTCAATCTGTGGGTCCCAAGATATTTTGGCCTTCAACTCTCAGAAATCATAACAGCTGGTAAACTGCCTGGGATTTCTGGGAATTGTAGGCCAAAACACCTGGGGAGCCACAGGTTGAGAACCACTTCTCTAGAAGCTACTGAGGTGTGTTTTAACGTGAAAGGGCAAGCATTGCCATACAATCCTGTATTTGGGAGCAGGTTTGTGTAGACCACGGATGGAGAACACGAGGCCTGCCCAAATTTAGACTGCACTCACTGGTAAAGCAATTGTGGAGTATCTGCTGACTGTAAGGTTGCATTTTCTGAAAGAATGAGGCTGCTTTAGGTAATACTAAGAATATCTAAGGAAATTTGCCACACCTCTTTTCCAGTCTCCTTCAGTTAAAGAGTTGGGCATGTTTAGCTTGAAGAAGAGAAGGCTGAGAGGAGACATTATGGCTATGTATAAGTATGTGAGAGGAAGTCATCGGGAGGAGGGAGCAATCTTGTTTTCTGGTGCCCTGGAGACTAGGACGCGGAACAACGGCTTCAAACTACAAGAGAGGACATTCCATCTGAACATTAGGAAGAACTTCCTAACTATGAGAGCTGTTCAGCAGTGGAACTCTCTGCCCCGGAGTGTGGTGGAGACTCCTTCTTTGGAGGCTTTTAAACAGAGGCTGGATGGCCATCTGTCGGAGATGCTCTGAATGCAATTGTCCTGCTTCTTGGCAGGGGGTTGGATGGCCCATGAGGTCTCTTCCAACTCTTATGATTCTATTATTCTCGTTGTTATTTATGCAATAAATCATACTTCTAAGGATTGTACTGTGAGAAACGAATGGTGGCTATAATCCTGCCCATGTTTATGTTTCCATGTGTGCATACACATATGTTCCATGTGAAAGTTCATGGGGGATGAGGCTTCCATTATCTACTAATCATCATAAGTGTATTCTAACTGAAGATATGATGAATCGGGGGATAAAAGTGAGAGGACTATGGATCTCCCTTTGTGGTTGCTCTGATAAATGTTACCTTATGTGGGCCTCAAATCTGATCTTGTTCAGCTGCTCTTATGTTTGCTAAAAGTAGTGCATATGTATCCTGCCATCACTCATCTTAGATTATCATTTGCTATTGGGATGTTTTCCTGGCTGCTATGTATACAATTTTGATAACATCATTTTTTATTCCTATCTCTTTGTATGCACCATAGGCTTGTTTCTGTGATGACCATACACGGAGCAAGGTTTTCAAACATGAAAAAGGAAAGGAGCCTCCTTGCCCAAAGTGTGGGCATGAAACACAGCAGACCAAGGACCTCAGCATGTCAAGTAAGTTTGCCATGGGCAGGTCCACCATATCCGCTGTAGTAGGAGATTACTGTTCTTTCTGTGCTAGACAGCTTGGCATGGACATCTGTTTAAGACAGTTGTGACATAGTGTTTGAGTCAATTGGCCTCATGACCTTGAAACAGGATTTTTTTAAGCTTTCAAATATTTTTATCACCTTTTAATGAATTCAATGAATAATGAATGTATTATTAGTTCAATTAAGGTTTCCAGTTCTATTTTTCCTCCATCCTTTCCTTTATTTCAGAATTATAGGAAATATTGAAAGGGATAGGACAGGTTTTGATTTGAAATCCATCCAGTGAATTTTGAGCAGTACACACACACACACAGTAAATAGGTATTTTTAATTACAAAATTTGTCAAGCACTGAAAGAGTTAAATGGATGCAATGACTCAGCAAACACAGCAGTTCTATATAAGCAGGTGTGCCTTTAGCTTAGTAGCCGTCAGTCTGAGGTAAACCTTAGTGGGAGAAAGGTCTCAGTCTGTGAGAAGGCCTCACAGTGTGAGGTAGGCCTTACTCTGCGAGACAAGCCTCTGTGTGAGATAGGCCTTAGTCTTAGCACTCAGTATGAAAAGGTCTTGTGTGTGAAGCTCTAGTGTGAAGATTGTACTTTATTTGTGTTATGGAAACCTTGTTTTGTAAATAGTGCAACCATATTATTTTACTATAAAGAAAAGCCTCCTATGGAAGAGATAACATTGGTCTGTGTGTTTTTGTTCTTTTTATCACTTTGGGCTACACTGCTGCTAATAAGTTACTCTGCTGTACATTTATGAGGGAAGACTTTTTTTAATAAGTCCACTCACCCAACAAGGGTTATGGGCCCAGTATAGCCCAGTCTAAATCAGTAGAGACCACATTGAGGCTGAAGAACTATGGCAATGGCATTTCAAGCAAGTGGATTGCCTTTTGAAAGGTTGAGTGCCAGCAATTATGCCACATGGTCATTACATCCAAAAATGTCTATTTCTGACTTCCAAGTCACTACATAAAAATGCTTATATGATAAGCTGGCTGGGGATTTATATACATATTATTTCATTCCTGCCCTCTTTGGTGGTGTAGTTTATTAACAGTGGGAAAACTTGTATGTCTCTCTGCCTTTTTTCAGCACGGTCTCTGAGGTTTGGCCGTCAAACAGGAGGCGAAGATGCTGATGGGGCTTCTGGCTATGATGCCTATTGGAAGAACCTTGCAGCTGGGAAAGATACAGGTGATCATGATGAGGAATATGATGAATGTGAAGCAGATGAGGATGAAGATGATGATAACGAGGAAGGAGAGAAGGATTCAGAAACAGAAGTGACTGATGTGTTCAGTAACTTGAATTTGGGAAGGACCTATGCTAGTGGTTATGCGCACTACGAGGAGCCTGATGACTAAGTACCCGGAACAGGAAATAAGTTCCCGGAATATAGTGGCTCGGTTTCTGGAAAGCCAGTTATGCTTTTATAGTGGGATAATATTCGAAAGGAATTCTATGTGTGCTTAGTGAATTCTGTGTTTGGCACTGGAATAATTTCATTAGGTCTTCAAATAGTAAAGCTTATTAGGAATCAAAGGGAATGAAGCAGTTCCAGGAGATCAAGAAAATATTTCTATGGCTAATATATTTTAGTAGGTTCGATGAGTAAAATGGGTATGAGTGCAGAAATATTAATGTTTTTTCCCAAAGTTGGGATAATTATTTTTTTTATACTACTAGTCCCAGAACCCACAAGCCCACAGGGCTACTGACCATGATGGCTGAAGAATTCTGAAAATTGTAGTCCAAAGTTAATTCTTTCAAGCCTCGATTTTCTCTGTAGGATAAGTTATAAATGTGAGGATTCTAAGGCGTTTTCATTTCCATAAATTCGTCAAAAACTTTTTTGAGTAATTTTGGTGTGGTGGTCCTATAATAATGATGTTATGAATTATAAGTATTTGTGGTGATGGAAGCTACTATTTCATTTATATATGTGTGTGTGTAGGTGTGTACATATACACATCTATAGCAAGCTGTCTCTAGTTGAAACAAGGTATTTTCCCCCATAATATTGATCCTGCTTGAGTTCTTGGGAAATGCTTACTACAAGGTATTGTACACCAAATAAAAAGTGAAATTAAAGTTACTTTGACATTTTGTGTAAACAAAACTGATCAATATTTCCTCTTACATTGTTCTTCTGGAGCACTGTGAGTTCATGCCTTTTTAAAAACACCATACATTCATTGTAACTTGCTGTGTGGCTTACATAAACTTTTGACCTTATATTTATTTCCATAGAAATGTCATTGCACACCCCCCCCCCCACTTCATTGAATAAAGTCTCTCACAGTCTTTCATTTTGTTTCCTTGTATTTTCTTGCAGTAGCACAAGGTAATAAAGGTAAAGGTTTCTCCTTGACATTAAGTTTAGTCGAGTCCGACTCGGGGGTGGGGGGTGGGGGTGGGGGTGGGTAATGCTCATCTCCATTTCTAAGCTGAAGAGCTGGTGTCTGTAGACACTTCCTAGGTCATGTGGCCGGCATGACTGCATGGAGTGCTGTTACCTTCCTGCTGAAGCGGTACCTATTGATCTACTCACATTTGCATGTTTTCAAARTGCTAGGTTGGCAGAAGCTGGAGCTAACAACAGGAGTTCACCCCACACCACGGATTTACCTGTACCATACATTTATTAATGCCACCTTGTGCCTTACGGGGCTGTGGTGGTGCAGAGGGTTAAACTGCTGAGCTGCAGAACTTGCTGAGTAGAAGGTATGGTTCAGGTAACAGGCAGACAAAATATCTTCCAAAAAGCCTTACTGAAATTAATGAGGTTGAGTGTCCAGGGATCCATCCAGACACAGCTTTTACTACGCAAGTGGCCTTTGCAAAACAAATTTTATGGTGGATTAGAGAAATGCATAATAGCTGCAGAATGGCTTTCAATGAATAGCACTAGTGGCTATCCATTTGGAGCCATGTCTAGAGAGTGGAATGAGACATGGCCCCTGAACTAAGATAAAAAATTGTGTCTTCAGTATTCCTAATGTATGTATAAGTATTGTTTTTTTCTGTTTATTTATTGATGAATGTCTTTGGTGTCATATTTAATATAGGTGTTTTCACTTTTACTTTTAAGTATTTTGCTTGATATTGGTTGTTCATTTAATTTATATTTTTATATTATTATTATTATTTTTGTTTTTATTGACACATTGTAAGTCGCCCCGAATCCCTTCGGCAAGAGAGGCAGGATATTAATAAAATTATTATTATTATTAACTAGCTTGGGGACCCAGCAATGCCTGGGTGATTTGAAGAGGGCATTCATCAGCTGAGTTTTTGTCAGCTGGGTTCTGTGCTCTCTGCATAAGGGTGAACTACAACTCTCTTATGCCAAGGGAAATTACCCCAAAACCCTGCCTGTATGCACAGTTGGCTATGTTGGGTCTGTGTGCCAAGGTTCGTACAAATCTGACATCTGCTGGGTTCAGTGCCCTTTGGATAAGGATGAACTATAACTCCCAGATCAAAGGTCACTCACCTGCAAACCCCGCTTATGTGTGCAGTTGGCCATGTTGGGTCTGTGTGCCAAGTTTGATCCAGATCCGATGTTGGCTGCGTTTGGTGCTTTATGAATAAAGATGAACTACAACTCTCTAAATCAAGGTCAATTTCCATAAACCCCTGCAGTATGTACAGGTGATCATGTGACTTCTATGTGCCAATTTTGGTCCAGTCCATTGTCGGTGAGGGTCACAGTTTCTCTGGATGCAGGTGAACTATAACTCCCATAAATCAAGTCAGTTTTCCCCCAAATGACTCTAGTATGTTCTGTTGATCATGGGGAATTTGTGTGCCAAGTTTGGTCCAGGTCCATCATTTGTGGGTGTCGCAGTGGTCTGTAAAACCTATCTTCCATTTTTTTAAACATTTTTTAAAACTGCCATAAATGCAGGTTGGAAAATGGCTGTTTTATTTATTCATTAAGAAAGTGACAAGAATATGCAGAGCCTGCTAAATATTTTAGCTCACAAGTTCAATTACTGGTATGTTTTTGCTTTTGACACATGTAGTAGGCATTTTTCACATCCGTGCCGTCAGGGCTATAGCAATGAGAATGTTCTCTTCTTTAAATGAACATTTAAATAAACGGCATCATTAGTGTGCATGGCATGTTAGAAAGGTTGTCATCTGGTTGAAGGTGGATCCATTAGAAAAGAAGTATTCATGGTCTGAGAAGAATATCAAGTTCTTTGTGTTGGTCCTCTTGACTTATTTGGTGCTCTGGAGACATCTTGCGTGTGGGCAGTGCAACTCTGTAGGTGTTAGTGAACCATATTCTCATCATCTCTCAACACTGGCTAGTTTGTCCATGGCCACTGGGGAATACTGGAGCACCACAACATTAACTGGAAAACCAGTTAAGGTTGCTATTTAGTGTTGCAGTGAAATTATGCAGTCATGGTACCCTTACGTGCTCTTAAGGCCCTTCTACACTGACCATATAATGCAGTTTGAAGTCAGCTTCCACACAAAATGCACACTGGTGACGCATGCTGCAGCACACATCTAAGGATATGAAATCTGTTTTGAAAGGCTCAAAGAAGTCCCAAGTTTAGCCAAAAAATGTGCTGCAGCAGATGCCAGTGAATCTAGCTCAGATTCAGGGTGAAACTAGCTCCACAAATTGCAAATGCATTGTAGACACTTGGCTCTGCTGATGCATAGTAAAGAAAATATCCCAAATGCTGCTGAAAAATACTCCATGTCATGACTCGGCAACAGGGGTCTAATTGACCCATCCTGTATGCCTCTGGTTCACTAGTGCACATTTTTCCTGGAAATGAAAAAAAAATACCTGCAATGTCTATATTTGATGTAATTACCTTCCTGACCTCAACCCAGTTTGAGGCATGGCAATCCAATCACCTATGCATCAAAACCAGTTCCTCCTAAACTGGTTCCAAGTTGTATTATAGCAGTGGTTCTCAACTTTCCTAATGCCACAACCTCTTAATACAGTTCCTCATGTTGTGGTGACCCTCAACCATAAAATTATTTTAGTTGCTACTTCATAACTATAATTTTGCTAGTGTTATGAATTGTAATGTAAATATCTGATATGCAGGATGTGTTTTCATTCACTGGATCAAATTTGACCCAAATTTGAATACAGGTCGGGTTACAGGGGATTGATTTTGTCATTTGGGAGTTGTAGTTGCTGGGATGTATGGTTTGGCTACAATCAAAGAGCATTCTGAACTCTACTAATGATGGAATTGAATCAATCTTGGCCCACAGAACTCCCATGACCAACAGAAAATACAAAAGGGTTTGGTGGGCATTGACCTTGAGTTTTGGAGTTGTAGTTTACCTACATCCAGAGAGCACTGTGGACGCCAACAATGATAGATCTGGACCTGACTTGGTACGGATACTCAATATACCCAAATGTGAACACTGGTGGAGATTGGGGAAAATAGACCATGACATTTGGGATTTGTAGTTGCTGGGATTTATAGTTCACCTGCAATCAAAGAGCATTCTGAACCCCACTATGGTGACCCTTCTGGCACCCCCTCGTGACCCCCCCCCCCGGGGTCCTGACCTTCAGATTGAGAAACGCTGCATTATAGTGCCAGTATAGAAGTGCCCTTGAACTCCCATCATACCTGGCCATCATAGCCAACCGTTTGCAATAATGGGTTACCCTACTGTGTTTTGTGTCTCTTGCCTGTGTATGTTCTTCTGTTTGATTCTTTGATTGTCCATCACCATTTCTTCTTGTTTACGATTAAAATATTCTTTCGTATCCCTGAAAAATGTGAAGAACATGCTGAAAAATCTAAAATCAAGGGGGAAATATCATAGGCTTAATCAATTTAAGGTACAAATGGGTTTTTGTTTATATCTTGAGTATAATTCAGGAAAATTATTTTATTTTTTCAAAAGTTTACCAGGAAGTTACTGTAACAGATTAGTTGATGTCAAATGAATGAACATGGTTGCACTCACATCCAATTATTATTAATTAATCTTTAAAGTGCTAATGAGTTATATTGTCTATATTTTATTCTTAGATCAGTGGAATTAAATTCCTCCTGGGCTCTTTTTTCAGTTATGAAATATGCTTTTGTCATTGACTAAGCCAAATGGCTGATGTAAAATTAATTACCTTAATCAATGTGAAATATTGTTGCTTTTTCTCTCGAGTTTTTTTGGCTAATATTTCTGTAGAACATAAATCTTCCTTCGTTAGTGTACTCCTATCTTTGCCATTGCAACACAATGGATAAATAACACAAGCTGACCACACAACTCAAAACATCCTATTCATAGGCTGTACCAGGAAATGAATGTGCAATGTAGAAGAGTTTGGAGAAATCACCACTAATGTGCTTGCTTTTTGTATTTGAACATGAAATATTGAAGCCAGCAACCAACTAAATGACTTACTAGTACTAATTGGAGATACTCTTCTTAATCATATCACTGATAAAGGATTAAATTTCTAAGGACTTCAGCAATCAAACTGCTGTTGGTCAGACCAATGATCTATGCAGATTGGAAATTTGCGGACTCCAGCT